ATATATATATATATACTAACGTATATAACATATATAACTTAAACATATATAAACAATCAAATTACAGGCTATAATGTATATAAGCACGTGAATCATTTCGATCCTAAAGAAATACACGTTGCAATAATCGCACAAAGACGGATCCAGGCTAAAACTTACGACACGAATCGCAATCACAAAACACCATAAAATCGTGACAATCGTTACGAGACAACGTCAGGACGTGGACCTACCGAGTTTGCTGCTCTCCCTCTCCTTCTCCCTCTCCTCCTTCTCCCTCTCCAGCTTCGGCTTCCTTCCTCGCCGCTTCGGCTGCTCCTCGAGCCTCTCCGCCGCCACCGCCGCCGCCGCCGCCGCCGCCGCTCGAACGCGTGGTCCAACGGGTTCGTCACCGCGACGACCCCCGTCGCCGCGGCGACGACGCCGTTCCTCTCCGCCGCCGCCGCGCCGGCGCCCTCTAGCTTTGCGCACGCCGGGTGGCTGTTCTCGTCGGCGCTGCCGACCCCCGTCGCCGCGGCGACGACCGGCGGCGCCCCCTTGTTGGAGTCTTCGTCGGAGTGTCGCTGCAGCCAGGCTTTCTTCAGCTTCGTCGGGTTGCTCTTACACGGCGAGGCTGCGGCGTCTCGGCCCGCGGGCGGCGACGACGCCGCGCTGCGCGTCTCGCTGTCCGACGTCTCGAGTCCGTTCGCGCGCGACCCCACTGATCCCGGCGCCGCGCTGGACGCCGGCGCCCCCTCGCTCGTCGTTGACGACGAGGATGGCGTCGAGGCTTTCGATGGCAGCGCCGTCACCGCGGTGACGATCACCGAGGCGGAGGAGGCGCCCCCTGGCGGTGAGACGCAGGGCGAGAGAACGGGCGGCCGGTCGCGGCACGGCGGGCTCGTTTCCATCGCCTGCTCCCAGGGGTCGCCGCCGCAGCGCGAGACGACGACCGAGCCACGCGTGGCGCCCCCTCCCGGCAGCTGCCCGGCGACGGTCGCGCATGGGACGATGGCCGCCGCTCCTCCTCCGCAGCGCGCTCTCTTAGCCGCCGCCGCCTCCTCCGTCTCCCGCACTCCGGGACTCTTCCTCTTCCCCTGCTGCTGCTGCTGCTGCTGCTGCTGCTGCTGCTGCTGCTGCTGCTGCTGCTGCTGCTGCTG